ACAACAAAGAGTCCATCAGCTTTCTACACCTGGAAAATACTTGGTGTGATGGCCATGTTATGGTCAGTGAAGTCAAATTGAAAAGAAACATCAGTGAACATAAGATCGGGGCGGAGATTTGGTACAACCAGCTCGCTGTCAAAACCCAATTGACAGACAACATCAATGTTCAGTTGTGTTTTGAAGATATTGTAGTCCAAGTGAGAAATGTGCTGTCACTAGGTGAAAAATCGCACGTATGTCGTGATCTTCCCATGTGCGAGATCAATGACTTGCTAGAAATGTACCAGGTTAAAGTTGAAAACTACTTCATGACATATGGAGACATCAATGAGGAAAGGTGATTATAATAATCTTTCATTATTGTTATTATTATTTATATTATTAGTATTATCATTAGTATTATTAGTATTAGTGTTATTATATTATTTGGCCATTATATTTTATTTACAAAATTGACATAAATCTGCTTAAGAATATAGCAATATGTAACATTATTAATGGCCACAGATCTTAGTGGACTCTGTTGAGCTTTTTTATTGAGATCCACATATGGGCATAATCATGTTGTTAATGTAATTGAAATATAGCACTAGGGTTACTTAATTTTAATACTAGCATAGGTTTTTAAAAACTGATCATAGTCGAGGAATATACGTTTATTGGCACATAAACTTTAGTATCATTTTTTAAAGAGTATATGAGTAGATTGACCACCTAATAAGGTTACAATATACCTTTGGAGAGGATTTTCTCCATAAAGTTATGTCCAATGTTATCTATTTAGGCATTTCAGTTCAAAGTGTGAAGTTTCCACTAATTCAGGTGGACTGATTTGCTCAAGATGCAAATACATTAAAAACACATATAAAAGGAAAGAAGAAAGATACAAAGAAAAACCATTTGTGAATGCCAAAACCAACCATCAATACATGACCAATGATCAGCTTGTTGGAAAGGTAATTATAGTAATGCTGAACTGTGAAATCATGCCTGTTTAACAAACACCATTAAAAAAAACAATTCTCCAACTTCTACAGCTATGTACCTCACTATTTGATACAACACATTTTGATAATGGAGCATTCCATTGTCAGCCCCTTGGATGCAAACTTCAAAGGTGCTAACAACAAATTCATGGCTGTCAACAAATCGGCCCTCCACGGGGAGAATGTTTCAAAATAGGTTTGAAATACCTCGCTTATTTTACTTTTTTCTACAAATCTGATAATGATCAATTCTCTTCAACGATATATTTTTTAGTTGTATGAAATATTTATTAGAATTGCTTTGTTTCTGAAGCCTGAATTTTATTAGAAGCATCCTACATTTACAAATTTAACCTACTATTTAATTGGTTAGATTTGTACTCTGCTGTTAATTATATTTCACCATTATTGTTAAAATTAATGTAAATAGTTTTGGAGGACCTTGGACTGATGTGAATGCTCAGTTAGCCTGAAATGTCAGTCATCTCCTGTTGCCAAGGCATTAGGATGAGGGCGGATTTCGGGATAAAGCTCTGTACATAAATTGTTACTGCTATTAAAATGGTTCAACTTGAGAAACAGCAGAAGGTAGCAGAAAAAAGAACTCAGGAAAAACTGGAAGCTGACATGATTGAGAATATTATTATAACACCGTAGGACATATTTTTCAAAATTTGCTCAAATCTCATTTAAACTCTCCAGGATGAGAAAAAAATGACACTGTTGAATGTTCAAGAGTGTTTATTTGGTAAATTACCTATTTGTTGATTGATTTCAATGTCATCTTCTAATCTCCATAGACTCTTATATTCTATTTCAACACCAGTCCTACTCACTAGTGAGTCACCTGAGATATGTGCAAGTAGCCCGAGCGATCAGTTGTGCACGTAATCCCAGAGCGGTCAGTCGCATCTTTTGAAGTTCGTTGGTAATGGCAAATACGAGCAAGCAAACACTTTCCACTGAGGCAGAGGATGCCCTCTTAAACAATGACCACGATCCTAAGGAGAAGACCCCAACAACTGCCCACCGGTTCCCATGGTCAGTATGCTTCAGAACGTCAACAAAACTCTCAGAGCGATGGCAGACTCGATCCTCAACATGAACCAGTCACTCAAGCAGCTTCATCCCAGTAACAGACGATCAACTCGACCCTAAATGATGAAAATACAGTTTCAAAGATTGAGTGGTTCCGATGGTTCAGATTATGATGGAGATGACTCGGACGCGGAACTTTAGGCCCTTTGTGGCACTGAAGCCAACAAAACCTCCAAAGATAAACCCCATGCTCCACTCAAGCAAAGCGCAAATCACAGAAGATCTTCTCAACGCAGACGAATCAGGTCTGGCTGCTGAGAAACAACTGGCTGACTTTATTAACAACTTGTGGTCTAAGAAATTGCCAGACTCAAAACTAAAGGATAGGTCAGGGAAATATTTACACCCAGTGAACTGCGAGACTCTCGCAACACCGCAGGTTAATCCCGAAATCTGTGATAAACTGAGCCACTCAGTAAAACAACAGGACCTCAGGTCCAGCTTAACCCAGAAAACGGTTGGTACTGCTGGCACTGTACTGTGCAAATCCATTGAGCTGCTGCTAGAAATGAAGAATTTGAAGCAGCCGAAGTCAAACTCAGACATTCAGAAACTTATAAAATTGAACACAGATGCAGTCGCTCTCCTAGGGCATGCATATGTCAACCTGTCCCACTGCCGCTGGGAGTCAATCAAACCGCATCTAAATAAAGATTATGCGGGCCTGTGTGCTTCGCATGTTCCAGTAACAGCTCTGCTGTTTGGCAACGACCTGCAATCCCAATTGAATATACCAGCATCCAACAGGGTAAGCACCATGTTTCTTGACAAATGGAAGGAAATAACTTCTGACTCAGAAGTCCTTATTGTGTTAAGGGTCAATATATTGAATTTTCCACACAGCCCACAAAGAACTTGGGCCTGAAAAGGAAAACTTTCAACATCAGTGACTCACTGGTTATAGGAGCTGAAATCCAAAAATTGCTTGACAAAGGTGTCATTGTACCCAACCCAACATGAAAGTGGGGAATATATTTCGCCAATTTTTCTGGCAAATAAAAAAGATGGATCGTATCGAATGATCTCAAATTTAAAATGCTTTAACCAGCATGTTGAATACCAACATTTCAAAATGGACTCAGTCTGGACAGCAATTAGGTTCATTACCCCAAATTGCTTCACGGCATCCATTGATTTAAAGGACACTTACTATTCGGTCCCTATCGCAAAGCCACACCAAAAGTACCTCAAATTTGAATGGAACAACATGTTATTTAAGTTTACATGTTTCCCCAATGGTTTGGCTTTCTGTCCCAGAAAATTTACCAAGCTAGTGAAACCAGTATTTACCACCCTGCAACAGCTTGGTCACTTGTCTTCAGGTTATATAGACGACTCTTGGTTAATGGGGCCAATCTGGGATTATTGTGCAAAAAATGTTGTTGACACAGTCAAACTATTGGATACTTTGGGTTTTGTAGTACACCCTTAAAAGTCGGTGTTCATCCCAACTCTACAAGGATGCAACCTTTGACTTAGGACAATTTAATGTTACCATTATTTCCTACAAGCATCTCCTGTTGGAGAATCGCTGAAATGGCAAACACCCTACCGTCACTGACCCGGTGCTTGTACATCATAGAAACACTACTCAGTCATAAAAGTACCTTTGAACTAACTTGACATCCTCAAATCCTGCCACGAAGAATCTTGGCATTTGGTACCAATGATGAGACAGCGTTAATCAAGGCGTTTGAGGAAACCTCTGACTGTGCTGTTTATTTATTGTGTGAGAGGCACATACAAAACACCCTCAGACGAGGTTTAAAGCCCTCTAGTTTCCTTTGGCCTACCAAGCAGTTTCTCCACAATACCTTTGGTGGAGCATGTGACCGGGAGTATGTGCTTGGACTGGTTGACAGTAGAGATATAGAGGAATTTCAATGCTGCCTGGATACCCTGGAGGAGAAATGGAGTCAAGCTGCAGAGCCAGGTAAAGAGGCCTATCGCTGGTTTCTGAAAAACAAAGCACAGAAAGTTTTTTGTTCTCTTGGTGCTGGTGTTAAAGAGCAAGCCGGCTAAGGATGACCACCTGCACGATTTACAACCAACCCATCTGAAGGGAATAATGTTGTTCAAGAGTTTATTGATAAGACATGAAGAAGACACACCTTGGTGAATTCAAATTCGTTGGATCACTACAGAATCTGATACAACCTCTAGAAAACGACCTTGAGACAGTAGTTATCAACCAAGGGCCCTACTGAATCACGTCATCACATTCCCCAATGACTGGGTGAAAATGATGCCAAATCAGTGGTAGAGAGCTTTGCAGAAGGTGCATGGGACGAAGATNGTATGTCAAACACTTTTATCATGAGCCCCTGGCTCGGGAGACTTGGGCAACCACTCCCCGTGTTTTTGACGTAAAATAAATTACCTTACCTTACCTTTACCTTACCTCCCTTCGCTTGCACTTGCACATTCGTCACTCAGTCTGCCTTTGGCTTCGTGAGAGACTGAGCAAAGGTTTCTGCCTCTCACTTTGTGTGTGAAATGACTAAGTGAAGGTCGACTTGCAGCAAGTCTAATCATACGACGCAATGGCGAAAGCCCTCCAAAATTAAAAAGTATGTGGGGCCACGCAAAAGTTTTTAGCCACAACAAAGATGTTGTCAACCATGAAGTGGACTGCTGTAGCCAAGGAATTTTGGAAGAGCATAAGAAGAAAGGCCACGGTGGAGTTTCATACCTCTATACAAGTGTGGTGAGTTATTCTGCACAGTGATGAGCGAAGATTGACTTGTGACAAGACTTGGGGTGCTTTCCATTATCCCAAACAGACCAGTCAGAGATCAGTGGGAATACCCGAGGAAAATGGAACATTTTCTGATCAAACTGGGCCAACCAATAGGAATGGCTCTTGCCACTTTTTACTCCTTTTCCGCATTCCCTAATTAGGGCAAAGAACCGGTTTGTCAAAAATGGAACGGCGAATTTTGGTCAAAATAACTGGACCACCTCCAGAGGTGATCCCAAATATTCTGGTCTGAAGAAACTGAAACGGACCTTTCCATTTGAATTCCGACCAAAATTTCCAGAACCTTTGGCATAATGGAAAGCATCCTTGCATTTATATCCTGCAAAGCATAGATTTTATAATCAGAAGTTTCGACAATTCTCTTTTAGGGTATTACAAAATTACGAAGTCGTGAACAACAGTGTCACAACCAACAACGACATTTTTGCTCATGCAAATCGAGAAAAAGAAAAACTTTTGATGATAAGTCCAGTTGATGAGATCACGTCCTATATCATTTTCCGTGCCGTGCGTGACCTTTCTGGTGGTGCCGTCAAAAAGGTCAACAAAAGGATAAACAAATCATTCAAAAGAGCGTTATTAAATAAACAAAAACAAGACCAAGTGCTCGCCAAATCTGATAATCAAATCGACGAATGGGAAAAAATTGCAATCAAAAGTGTCCATCGCCAAGGAAGTAAGAGATGATGGTAAGTGGCAAGTCCTGGTCAACAACAAAGAGTCCATCAGCTTTCTACACCTGGAAAATACTTGGTGTGATGGCCATGTTATGGTCAGTGAAGTCAAATTGAAAAGAAACATCAGTGAACATAAGATCGGGGCGGAGATTTGGTACAACCAGCTCGCTGTCAAAACCCAATTGACAGACAACATCAATGTTCAGTTGTGTTTTGAAGATATTGTAGTCCAAGTGAGAAATGTGCTGTCACTAGGTGAAAAATCGCACGTATGTCGTGATCTTCCCATGTGCGAGATCAATGACTTGCTAGAAATGTACCAGGTTAAAGTTGAAAACTACTTCATGACATATGGAGACATCAATGAGGAAAGGTGATTATAATAATCTTTCATTATTGTTATTATTATTTATATTATTAGTATTATCATTAGTATTATTAGTATTAGTGTTATTATATTATTTGGCCATTATATTTTATTTACAAAATTGACATAAATCTGCTTAAGAATATAGCAATATGTAACATTATTAATGGCCACAGATCTTAGTGGACTCTGTTGAGCTTTTTTATTGAGATCCACATATGGGCATAATCATGTTGTTAATGTAATTGAAATATAGCACTAGGGTTACTTAATTTTAATACTAGCATAGGTTTTTAAAAACTGATCATAGTCGAGGAATATACGTTTATTGGCACATAAACTTTAGTATCATTTTTTAAAGAGTATATGAGTAGATTGACCACCTAATAAGGTTACAATATACCTTTGGAGAGGATTTTCTCCATAAAGTTATGTCCAATGTTATCTATTTAGGCATTTCAGTTCAAAGTGTGAAGTTTCCACTAATTCAGGTGGACTGATTTGCTCAAGATGCAAATACATTAAAAACACATATAAAAGGAAAGAAGAAAGATACAAAGAAAAACCATTTGTGAATGCCAAAACCAACCATCAATACATGACCAATGATCAGCTTGTTGGAAAGGTAATTATAGTAATGCTGAACTGTGAAATCATGCCTGTTTAACAAACACCATTAAAAAAAACAATTCTCCAACTTCTACAGCTATGTACCTCACTATTTGATACAACACATTTTGATAATGGAGCATTCCATTGTCAGCCCCTTGGATGCAAACTTCAAAGGTGCTAACAACAAATTCATGGCTGTCAACAAATCGGCCCTCCACGGGGAGAATGTTTCAAAATAGGTTTGAAATACCTCGCTTATTTTACTTTTTTCTACAAATCTGATAATGATCAATTCTCTTCAACGATATATTTTTTAGTTGTATGAAATATTTATTAGAATTGCTTTGTTTCTGAAGCCTGAATTTTATTAGAAGCATCCTACATTTACAAATTTAACCTACTATTTAATTGGTTAGATTTGTACTCTGCTGTTAATTATATTTCACCATTATTGTTAAAATTAATGTAAATAGTTTTGGAGGACCTTGGACTGATGTGAATGCTCAGTTAGCCTGAAATGTCAGTCATCTCCTGTTGCCAAGGCATTAGGATGAGGGCGGATTTCGGGATAAAGCTCTGTACATAAATTGTTACTGCTATTAAAATGGTTCAACTTGAGAAACAGCAGAAGGTAGCAGAAAAAAGAACTCAGGAAAAACTGGAAGCTGACATGATTGAGAATATTATTATAACACCGTAGGACATATTTTTCAAAATTTGCTCAAATCTCATTTAAACTCTCCAGGATGAGAAAAAAATGACACTGTTGAATGTTCAAGAGTGTTTATTTGGTAAATTACCTATTTGTTGATTGATTTCAATGTCATCTTCTAATCTCCATAGACTCTTATATTCTATTTCAACACCAGTCCTACTCACTAGTGAGTCACCTGAGATATGTGCAAGTAGCCCGAGCGATCAGTTGTGCACGTAATCCCAGAGCGGTCAGTCGCATCTTTTGAAGTTCGTTGGTAATGGCAAATACGAGCAAGCAAACACTTTCCACTGAGGCAGAGGATGCCCTCTTAAACAATGACCACGATCCTAAGGAGAAGACCCCAACAACTGCCCACCGGTTCCCATGGTCAGTATGCTTCAGAACGTCAACAAAACTCTCAGAGCGATGGCAGACTCGATCCTCAACATGAACCAGTCACTCAAGCAGCTTCATCCCAGTAACAGACGATCAACTCGACCCTAAATGATGAAAATACAGTTTCAAAGATTGAGTGGTTCCGATGGTTCAGATTATGATGGAGATGACTCGGACGCGGAACTTTAGGCCCTTTGTGGCACTGAAGCCAACAAAACCTCCAAAGATAAACCCCATGCTCCACTCAAGCAAAGCGCAAATCACAGAAGATCTTCTCAACGCAGACGAATCAGGTCTGGCTGCTGAGAAACAACTGGCTGACTTTATTAACAACTTGTGGTCTAAGAAATTGCCAGACTCAAAACTAAAGGATAGGTCAGGGAAATATTTACACCCAGTGAACTGCGAGACTCTCGCAACACCGCAGGTTAATCCCGAAATCTGTGATAAACTGAGCCACTCAGTAAAACAACAGGACCTCAGGTCCAGCTTAACCCAGAAAACGGTTGGTACTGCTGGCACTGTACTGTGCAAATCCATTGAGCTGCTGCTAGAAATGAAGAATTTGAAGCAGCCGAAGTCAAACTCAGACATTCAGAAACTTATAAAATTGAACACAGATGCAGTCGCTCTCCTAGGGCATGCATATGTCAACCTGTCCCACTGCCGCTGGGAGTCAATCAAACCGCATCTAAATAAAGATTATGCGGGCCTGTGTGCTTCGCATGTTCCAGTAACAGCTCTGCTGTTTGGCAACGACCTGCAATCCCAATTGAATATACCAGCATCCAACAGGGTAAGCACCATGTTTCTTGACAAATGGAAGGAAATAACTTCTGACTCAGAAGTCCTTATTGTGTTAAGGGTCAATATATTGAATTTTCCACACAGCCCACAAAGAACTTGGGCCTGAAAAGGAAAACTTTCAACATCAGTGACTCACTGGTTATAGGAGCTGAAATCCAAAAATTGCTTGACAAAGGTGTCATTGTACCCAACCCAACATGAAAGTGGGGAATATATTTCGCCAATTTTTCTGGCAAATAAAAAAGATGGATCGTATCGAATGATCTCAAATTTAAAATGCTTTAACCAGCATGTTGAATACCAACATTTCAAAATGGACTCAGTCTGGACAGCAATTAGGTTCATTACCCCAAATTGCTTCACGGCATCCATTGATTTAAAGGACACTTACTATTCGGTCCCTATCGCAAAGCCACACCAAAAGTACCTCAAATTTGAATGGAACAACATGTTATTTAAGTTTACATGTTTCCCCAATGGTTTGGCTTTCTGTCCCAGAAAATTTACCAAGCTAGTGAAACCAGTATTTACCACCCTGCAACAGCTTGGTCACTTGTCTTCAGGTTATATAGACGACTCTTGGTTAATGGGGCCAATCTGGGATTATTGTGCAAAAAATGTTGTTGACACAGTCAAACTATTGGATACTTTGGGTTTTGTAGTACACCCTTAAAAGTCGGTGTTCATCCCAACTCTACAAGGATGCAACCTTTGACTTAGGACAATTTAATGTTACCATTATTTCCTACAAGCATCTCCTGTTGGAGAATCGCTGAAATGGCAAACACCCTACCGTCACTGACCCGGTGCTTGTACATCATAGAAACACTACTCAGTCATAAAAGTACCTTTGAACTAACTTGACATCCTCAAATCCTGCCACGAAGAATCTTGGCATTTGGTACCAATGATGAGACAGCGTTAATCAAGGCGTTTGAGGAAACCTCTGACTGTGCTGTTTATTTATTGTGTGAGAGGCACATACAAAACACCCTCAGACGAGGTTTAAAGCCCTCTAGTTTCCTTTGGCCTACCAAGCAGTTTCTCCACAATACCTTTGGTGGAGCATGTGACCGGGAGTATGTGCTTGGACTGGTTGACAGTAGAGATATAGAGGAATTTCAATGCTGCCTGGATACCCTGGAGGAGAAATGGAGTCAAGCTGCAGAGCCAGGTAAAGAGGCCTATCGCTGGTTTCTGAAAAACAAAGCACAGAAAGTTTTTTGTTCTCTTGGTGCTGGTGTTAAAGAGCAAGCCGGCTAAGGATGACCACCTGCACGATTTACAACCAACCCATCTGAAGGGAATAATAATGTTGTTCAAGAGTTTATTGATAAGACATGAAGAAGACACACCTTGGTGAATTCAAATTCGTTGTATCACTACAGAATCTGATACAACCTCTAGAAAACGACCTTGAGACAGTAGTTATCAACCAAGGGCCCTACTGAATTCGAAACACCTTCAATCACGTCATCACATTCCCCAATGACTGGGTGAAAATGATGCCAAATCAGTGGTAGAGAGCTTTGCAGAAGGTGCATGGGACGAAGATCTCAGAAGCAAGCAGTGGTAGTCTGACTTAGAGGCCACAGCCTGCAGAGGACACAAAAAACAATTCTTAATCGTCTACTTCAAGAGAGAATCGACTGGATTCCCCTCTCCACCTTAACTGGAATGACAGAGAAAGCTGAAAAAATCCCCCAGGTTTCAGAACATGTTATTCCAATTCCAAACTCAGAAGGATCACTTCTCGTTCCAAACAAGACTAACGCTCACAACCCACACGTCATAAGCACATACAGTACAGGCCGAATTCTTTGCAATTGCATAAACGACAAAACTCTGTCTATTTCACTCTCCATTGTCTATGCAAAACACCAAAAAGTGCAGCCTAAGTTCTACAAATGGCTTAAAAAGCTCAGGCGCAGTCAAGGTAGCAATACTATCAATTTTTCAAACCTTGTATCAGGGGATATGCCTCATGGAAGGGGTCAAAAGGGCAAGTGGCCTCCCCGAACAGCCAAGGCAAGAGTAACTCACACCAACACTTGGATGAATATATCAGCCTGCACTTCACAGCAGCAGCAGCAGACCCAAGCATGGCAGCAACCACACGAAATTTGGTCAAAGCAGCGGACACAGGTCAATCAAGAAACACGTTTGTCATATCCACAGCTCGAGATACAGAGCGACCGGCAACTGCATGTACTAAGGCCACAGCAACAAGGGATAGGTCTTCAGCAGCTGACAGGTTTACACCAGCAGTATTTAGCTATACAGTAGTAGGTAGCAAGTGCACTACAGCTATCAGAAGACCCACACCAGCAAGCAGCAGGTCCACATCAACAGGGGAAAGCTTTGCAGCAGCAGAAAGAAGCAAAGCAACAGACAGCAAGTCCAGTGCAGTTGATCCCAGCCTCACAGCAGCAGGTAGCAGGTCAACACCACCATGCAGTAGCTTCACAGCATCAGGTAGCAGGTCAATACCAACAGGCAGTAGCCTCACAGCAGCAGGTAGCAGGTCTACACTGGCATGCAGTAGCTTCATAGCATCAGGTAGCAGGTAAATACCAACAGGCAGTAGGCTCACAGTACCAGGTAGCAGGTCAACACCAGCACGTAGTAGCTTCAGCCTCATGTAGCAGGTCAACACCAGCACGCAGTAGCTTCACAGCCTCATGTAGCAGGTCAACACCACCACGTAGTAGCATCACAGCCTCATATAGTAGGTCAACACCAGCACACAGTAACTTCAGAGCCTCAGGTAGCAGGTCAACACCAACAGCCAGTCACTCCACAGCATCAGGTAGCAGTTCTCCACCTACAAGCAGGAGGACCACACCAGCGAACAGCTTTACCACAGCCATACCATAACAGGAATCCATTTCTGATAGAGTTCCAACATGGAAATATCCATAAATGTACAGGATGTGGAGGGGAAATTTCGAAGCAGGTCGTAGCTCATGATAATATGATTTCAAAACACATGGAACACTACCAGCAAAGAGAAGGCACAGTATTATCACACCCGTGCTGTGTGCATCATTGGTCGACATCCTTATTTTATGTCAAATCTTGCAGATTTGTCTAAAGTCGCGAGCAAGCTTAGTGAGGGGCACAAGCTGCATCTTGCTATGGACCTTGACATTTTTCTACCGTAATGGGACTGGCGACTACCTGTCGTGAAACATTTGGGTTATATCGCTCCCTGCCTTTAGGTCGCTAGGTTTTAAGGTCTCTATGGGTAAGGACCATGGAACCTGTAGAACTAGCAGAAACTCTGCAACCTGGAAAAGACTGACAAATGAGAGTTTTCACTTTACTTTCACTAAGATAGATAAGATGGTTAGAAACAAGTACATTTAACAGTGGTAATCCACCTGATTTGCTGTTTCTGGTGATTTATTTATTACTGGTATCTGAGCCATGTTTTCCTATTTGCCGCCAAGAGGTCGACTCTCGACAGTTTAAACACTAGGTAAATGTAACAATGTTCTCGGTGAGTTACATTGCTTGATTTTAGAAGCAGAATCAATGCTAATCTTTCTTGCTAAGATTCCTGCTTTTGTTAGTGGACCGTACTGAGTTGTCAGCAATTGCAAACTTTCTTCCACAATAGCTGCCCTGTTGATTAATAATCGAGTATGGCCTACAAGGAAGAACATTTACTTTTGGCACCATAAGGAAAGCATGGGTCATTGTCTGATCACCGAAGTTAGTCATAAGGGATTAGGACTTGGATGACGTTACCCCTCGTTTAACTCTTTTTCTTTACGTTTTTTGTCTTTTCTTTCCTTCTTCATTTTGCAATCGGTTTGCAGAAATTTGACAGTTCAAGTAGTAGTTTTGCAGGTTTCACAGTCAGCAGTTCCTCAGATTAGAATTACTCGGTTTCTATAATGTTCAAATTTCATGTAAAAGTTTTCATTTTCTTAAAAGAATATGGACATGGTTTTTAAATAATTCAAAGCTGGATCGAAGTTATTAGACTTGTACGTTCGGTAGTTCAGTAGGAATTTGTGCATTGGATAAATTAAATATGCTCTTCATAGTATGGCTCAGCCCAAAAGGCGATGTTTAAATGCTTGGGCTAAAGGAGACAACTTATTTGTAGCCTCTACCAGGCGTTCAGTTAGTTGGGGCACAGCATGAAAAACTGTTGGCGAAAAATAGGGGAGAAGCACTTTCTCTCGCCGCGCTTCTCTCCTATTTTTTTACTTGCCGTTTTTCGCTCTGTGCCCCAGCTAACTGAACGCCTGGAAGAGGTTAACCTATTCCTAGTTCCCCATGAGGGTGTTTTGAAATTGAAAAATTGGCAAGAGTGGTCAGCATTATAACCACAGAAAAGTTGGAGTGGGTGCATTGTTTCAAATACTTTTCTCCTTGACGCACGTGGGTGTCAGCTTGGCGGTATGACCAGCATGGAAGGTAAGAGTATTTTGGTCAGTTTTACACTTAGTTTCTACAAGTGACCAAAATTAAGCAAAGAATATTGCTTTTAGGTAAAGAAAGTGACCATATGGATGCTGTTGTCATCGACAGGTGAGTAAACTTGAAACCTTTGTCTCACTTTTGAGTACTGATATGATCTTATAGTTGAGTGCAAAACTCCAGCTTAAGACTCCAGCATGGTTCAGGAGCCATACTTCACATGGGTCAAATCGAATTGGAAGTTATTCTGACCCAGATTAATTTACACTGATGTAACCAGTTCAAAAATAATGCACTACTAACAAATTTACTCGATCTTTACTTGCAATGTTTTAGCAACTCTGACATTATGACAGTTACAGATGTTGAAGACAATGTTGGCTCTAGTGATCCAGAACCTATGTGGGAAAGCGAGAGTATAAGTGCTTCAATTTTTCAATTTTTCATGGGCTTTCGAAAACAGTTTGGTTGTCACTCCAGTTGACATCACCATACCTTTGAATCAAATGGTAATCACTTTTTTATCATTCTTACGTTTGCTGTGACCATATAGACATCAACACACACTGATTTAGTTCAAGATACTCTTTTGTTGTCACTATTGTGAGAACAACACGAGCGGGAAAAGAAATGCACTGTATGTCAAATTATGGCCACACTTCAAACAAATGAACTAAAAAACTTTGCTTACAATACAGAGGTGACACCATCCATATTCCAGTGCTTCGGAAATCTTTTGTAATACTTGAATGACTTATCAAAGTAACGTTGAAAGAACATCAGTACTACAGTTCAAAGTAAAAGGATTGTTTTGACCAATTGAAAGTGACATGAAACTGTTATGATATGGCTAGTCACCAGTTTCCTTGCTACTTATGGACCACACGGTCTCCACGCATGTCAGACTGAATGCCTCCATCTTGGATTACTGTACAAGTAAAGTTGTGTTTAGTAATCCTTGTTGAATCCTGGCTCATCCCTTAAATAGTTATTACATCTCTTTACAGAAACGGGCTCAAGTACGACAGTCGAAATTTCTTCTCAGTGTAAAAAGGATCTGTAACAGTGTAAGGTTTTAGATTAACATCTTGAATGGTAATAAATGAAATAATACTTATAATTCATGGTTCCAAGAAAGAATTGAGGAAAGTGACCGCTGTTTTGAGTAGCTCTTCCCTCGAAAGCACTCCAGAGAAAGAGTATGGAGTTGCGGATGGTAGTAAGCTGACAATAAAGGAGTGTAAAGAAAGGTTAGTATGAGAGAAACACACACCCTGCTAATTCACCTTACTGTTTTGAACCCCAACACAGACTCACATATATCAAATTTTTCAACTATAGAAGTAAAAAAGACCAATGTACTTGATTTATGTTTTCTAGGTCTAAAGCAAGGCATGTAAAGCACTTTCTGTATGAGGACTCTGAAGAAGATAGTGGCCTAGCCCCCAAGTATGTATGTTTTCTTTTTCACTGGTGTTATTTAATTATTTATTGGTTTCATTTCATTTGGATTTTGTTGTTTGGCTTACACTGAGGGCATACTAATGGCTTTGTCACCACTGTAAAACTCCTGAAACTTTAAAACATTCTTCTAGGACCTTCTAGGGCTCTGAAAAATTCCTTCGCAAAAATTTTTCCACCTAAACTTGGAATTTTCCAGTCATTGCTTAATTAAAAAGTTAATGAAAATACTATCATAGCCATTTTCACTTACACTCTTGTGCAAGTGCAAGTAACTGATTTAAGAAAATAATCTAGTTACTGGGAAAGCCTAATCATTTTGAGCATTTACAACACAAAATGTCTGAGTTCCAAGGCCTGGCAATTTTATATGTGTACCCTAGAAAACTGTCGTAACATTCC